GGGGGTTGATTTAATCTCTCCCCCATCAGAATGTCCCACAAGTGAGTGTTAAAACTTTTGGCATATTCAAAACCAGAAGTGAAAATGAACCTTTCTTAATGCATTTCTCTCTGCCTGAGGTGGTGATTTTCTTTCAGCAGCTGCACATTTCTCTTCAGACAACTCCATTCTTCCTTCCTTGAGCTTCTATCTCCTGAGATGATTCCATTTCATTTTTGCAGCCCTGTCCAGAGAGAGACCTTCTGTCTGATGAAATGACAACCAGCCAGACCCCACCTGGTTGTGCTTTAACGGCGGTGAGTTATTCAGCCCCTTGGTGGTGTTAATAGTTACACCAAGCTGACACATCAACACTTGGCTGTGCTCTGATGTGTCAAAGCAGGGTAAATTCCAGCTGAGCAGTGAGGAGAGCTGGGGTTCCTCTCACAAGTGTGCAGAGCTGCTCCCGGGCACATGGGGGGCTCCTTCAAAGGGCAGAGATGTGCTGACCCAGCTCGGTGATGGGGGAATTGATTGTAGTGTTATTTATTTTATTAGTGAGACCTTATGATAGGTGATTGGAGAGCGTGCTGCTGCTTGAGGGTGAGCCAGCCAAGCACCCTGTGCAGTGAGATTGTCACCAACTACCCAAACCCATCAAATTCAAAGGTTCCTTTCTGCTGCTGGTCCTGTGTTGGCCCGTGGAGGAACAGGTTCCTCTCTTCTGGCCGTGTTTCTGCTGGTCCACCCTTGCTGCCCTGAGGCTCCACCTCAGGCCTTGGTGTAACTCCTGTCTTTGAGCTGCTTTAACATGTAGAGCAGCCCAACTTTGGCTCGTTTTGTGCAGTGAAATTATTGTATTGATTAGGATTTCGGAGTCCAACAGGGGCTACAGAGATGCTGAGGGGCTGGAGCATCTCTGTGCCAGGACAGGCTGAGAGCCCTGGGGATGGTGAGCATGGAGAGGAGAAGCCTCAAAGGGGATCTGATCGATGCTGGGCAAGAGGCTGGGGCCAGACTCTGGTCAGTGGTGCCCAGTGACAGGACAAGGGGCAACGGGCACCAACTGGAACCCAGGAGGTTCCATATGAACAGGAGGAGAAAATTCTTTGCTGTGAGGGTGCCTGAGCCTGGAGCAGCTGCCCAGAGAGGCTGTGGAGTCTCCTGCCCTGGAGAGATCCCAAACCCTCCTGGCTGTGACCCTGGGCACCCTGCTGTGGGTGAGCTGCTGGAGCAGGGGGGTTGGATGAGATGATCTCCAGAGGTCTCTTCCAACCCCACCATGCTGAGATTCTGTAATTTGGGAGCAAGGTGTGGTTCTAAGCCTTCATTGCAGGTGCTTTTCCTAGAGTTGGAGTGGTGGAAAGGGAGCAAAGCCCATGTGGCTTCCCTTGGACATTTTTCATTTTCATGACAACAGAGCTACCTGAACTCCATGAGTTCAGAGGGAAAAATGTCAGATCACCAGAAACACCAGCTGTTCTTGGAGGTATTTTCTGGGATCTTTCAGTTGTAAAGAACACTTAAATCCCCTGGTTTATTCAGCAATTTTTACAGTAATTAAGTAGTCAGAAGATCATTGGCCTGGTTTGGAAAAAGTTCTTCACTGTGAAGGTGGTGAGACACTAGAACAGGTTGTCCAAGGCAAGCTGTGGATGCTCCATCCCTCCAAGTGTTCAAGACCAGGTTGGATGGGGCTGTGAGCAACCTGCTCTAGTGGGAGGTGTCCCTGCCCATGGAACTTCATGATCTTTAAGGTCCCTTCCAACCCAACCCGTTCTATGATCATCCAAATTCTTTCCAGGCTTAGTATCTCTAAGAAAAAAAAATGAGGTTTGGTTTACAGCTTATAGAAGACAAAAGCTTTGGCAGCTTCTTGCCTGACAATGTCTGGGTTTAAGGCACCTCTGCAAGAGGCTGCACCATGGAAATGCATCCACAGCAGGGATGGCTTGGGCTGGAGCTGGAAGCTTCCTCCAGATAATGCAGAAGCAGAAACCCCCCAAGGAAATAAGAATGAAATAACTGCTCACTCGTGAAGCACCAAACTCCAGAGGTTCTCACCTGGCCCAGCAGGCCGGGCGGTGGGAACCCGTGCCAGGAGGAGGCTGGGGGCAGGCAGTGAGGCTGGTTTAATGATCCATGCCCCCGAGCTCCCGACGAGTTACTGATTGAGTGCCCGTGAGGCTGAGGATGAAGCAGGAGGCAGAGGAATGATGGAGGGAAATTCCACTGCGGGCTCCTCCACGCAGCAGCTCGGCCTTGCCGACCTCCTTGTCGTGGTGCTTTATTTTGCCTTAAACCTTGCAGTGGGGCTGTGGGTAAGAGTGTTTATTTTTATTCCTTTTCTCCTTTCTTCTTTGAATAGGTTTGGGAGTTTTCTTTTTTCAGAGCTGGCTTTCCTGCATGGAAAGCAGATCTGCTGCTCCTCTATTAAAGGGTGGTGAGACAAACATCCTCCTGAGCAGAAAAAGCCCTCGGCTACCTGTGGTTTCAGACAAAGCCTCTCCAAAACCATTTATTCTGCCTCGCAGAAAAAACAGTAGCCAAAGCCAGGCCCTAATAGCCAACCTGTCTGCTGGGGATGGCAGGAGGAAGGGCGAATCTCCTGTGCTGGCCCCTCTTGGGCTGCCTCCTTTGCTAGTCGTGGCTCCGGGTACTCGCGGTGCAGCCACCGTTCCGTGTAATTAACCTCAAGCTGCAGAGCTCCCATTAATTATCCAGTCTCTTGGCTTTTTGTCTGGGAGACTCGTTTCTTGGTGTCTTGTCTGGGTTTGCAGGGGAGGGTGCTCCGTGCTCATCTTTTCTCCTCCCAGTCTTCATGCAGGGTGAACAGGAACACGGTCAGTGGCTATTTCCTTGCTGGCAGAGACATGGCGTGGTGGCCAGTAAGTAGAGACCTCTGTCCCTCCTGTGACACTCTGTGCACCAGGGACATCCAGTGCTGCTGTCCCTCCCACCAAACTCCCTCTTGGCTCTGTAGCCCCCTCTGGGCAGGATTTGTGTCCTCGGAGCTGCAATTCCCCCCTCACTGCACAGTGGACTCTGGAGCCCAGTTGGCTTCGTGGGGAGGGGTCGCTGGAGTCAAACATTTTCTCTCCACTGGCCCTGTGTGCTTGTGTTGGCTCCAGCAAGACACAGGTGAACCAGGTTTCTTTTTTCCCCTCTTATTCTGGTATGATCTTGACAAACTGGTTGTAGGTCCTTCCTGTGTCTGGCTCTGGCTGCTTGCCCAGGGCCACCGTGGCAAACGCGGCGACGTGCGTCTCCTCATCCTCCTTGGAGCCAAGAAAGCCCATCCAAAACCCACCAGGGGTGCCCAGATGAGCCGAATGTGTGAGAGCACTGATGGTGGGGCTCAAACCTACCTCGACTGGAGCCTGTTAAGGGTTTTTCTTGCAAAATGTGTACACATCCCTCATCCCAGGTGCTGTATGTTTGGCCACGTTTTGCTTCTAGAAGCGGTGGCGAGATCTGCGCTCTCCTCCTCCCATTCCCACCTTACTGCTGCTTCCTCCCAGTTACCCCCTGGGGGCCGTGCTGCTGGGGAAGCCCCAAAGCTGCTCACGACCGTGCCAAGCCCCGGGGAACCGGTGGCAGGGCACCTGCAGCACCCCCCCCCTCCTCTGCCTCTCCTCAGATCGGCGCCTCTCTCTTCGCCAGCAGCGAGGGCTCGGGGCTGTTCGTGGGGCTGGCTGGGACCGGTGCTGCCGGCGGCATCGCTGTCACCGGCTTCGAGTGGAATGTAAGAGATGTCTCCTGGCCCCGAGGGAATGAGCTTCCCTGGCACAGCTTTCACAGCAGCTTCGGCAAAAGGCTGGGGAGGAGCCGTGCAGGGGGGATGAAGGCAGTCCTGCTCACTCAGCCTCTCCAGCTTGTGTGGGTACAGGGCGTCTGGAGTCAGCTCGGGTCCCTGTGCTCAGAAGAACATTTCAGAGCTTCCTAATCCACCCTCTGCATGACCCTGACAGGGATGAGTAGGTCACCCAGTCCCCTTTTCCCTGCATGTCATATCCATTGGGCTTGCCTGGTGCTCAGAGGTTTAGTGGGAAATGTGTGGTCAGGAGCTCAAGGGCTGAGGGGAGCAGGCTCCTGCTGCTGGGACTGTCCCCACCATGACCTTGTGTACCTGTGCCTGCTGTCTGAAAGCATTTGGGGGTGTAAACGTCCACTCAAGGGTGAGCCAGGGAGTGGTGGACAGGGTCTAGCACCACAGTCCATGTTGAGCTGCAGCAGGATCAGTGTTTTTTTCTGGCTGTGCCTTGTTCCTCCTTCCCAACAGGCGACTTACGCTCTTCTGGCCCTTGCCTGGGTGTTTGTGCCCGTCTACATCTCATCTGGGGTACGTACAGCTGCCATGAGCATGGCCCTGGCTGGGTCCCCTCTGCCCTGGAGAGCTCTCACTGCTGTCCTTGGAGGCTTCTAAGCCCTGCTCTGGGAACACAGCCGTGCCCCTGCCTTCCCTGGGACCGTGCCTGGACAGGGCAGCGATCGCTCTCTTCCCCCCTGGCAGATTGTCACGATGCCTGAGTACCTCCAGAGAAGGTTTGGGGGGCAGAGGATCCGGATGTACCTCTCCTGCCTGTCCCTCCTGCTCTCCATCTTCACCAAAATCTCTGTGAGTCGCTCCCGCTCAACCCTGACAAACCCACGACTGACTTTCCAGCAAGCAAAAGGTTATTTTGGGGCCCAAACCTCCTGTAGCCAAGTCAGGGGGAGAGCAGGTGCTGCAGGATGCTCCAGGAGGGAGCAGGACATGGGGTGGGAATTCGTGGGCAGGTGCTGTGGCACCTTGTGCCTTCGTGGGTACATCCAGCAGTGATGCTCAGGTCTGCATGGCCTGGCTGTGTGTCAGGAGTCCCAAATTCCTGGTGCACTCACCTTGGAGCAGAGGCTGTGGAGGAAAGGTGCTGGGAGGCTGGGCTGCATGGTCTGGGTTTTATTCTGTGCTCTGGCAGTGATGCTTTCCAGCATCCCCCAGGGACCTGGTGGAGACAGGCTGAATTGGGAATGCATCCATTGCTTTAGGGCACAGGGGTTTTGTGAGGAAAGGAAGCTGTGCTGTAGCTATAAGATACCCCAGCCCATATGGAAAGTGCCTGTTTTTGAGGGACTTCTCCCCAGGGATGTTTTCCTCCCATTTTGGCCTCATTCACAGTTCCCTGTGTGCAGCCTCTGCTCCTGCTGCCCACTTGGTAACCATGGGGAGAGTTTATCCAAGGGAAAGCAGGTAAAGAGCCTGTGACAGCAGGCCTGGGGCAAGCAGGAGAGAGCCAGGCACAGACACCCCCGGGGGGCTGGAGACAGGAGACAGATCAAGGGCAAACAGCTCAGAAAGGATCCGGAGGAGAAAACTTCAGGAGGGAGGGAGGGAGCAATCCTGCACCACCACCTGGGATGGAGTGGGTGGATCTGCCAGGGCTTCCACATTTCCCCAGCTAAAAGAAAAGGGGGTTTGGCAGTGACAGGCTGCAGAGGCTGCAGGGCAGGAGGTGCCAGAGCGTTTCCCCACGGCGAGGCGCTCAGCACCTGCCTCTGCACTCACCACCTCCCTGCTTCCCAACCACCAGCCTGGCTGCATGCAGCCACTGCTCCCTGCTTCCCAAACACCCCGTGTTCCTGCCTCCTCCCTGGCAGCTTCACGGCGTTGTCCCCCCCCAAAACCAGGCTGGGTCATTCTGCCCGTTAAACTCATCTTCTTCAGACCCTTGTCGTTTATGGAGCTGAAAATCCTGAGTCTTTTCTCCTGGAATCAGCCTGGTGGCTCCTGGAGGACCAGTTCAAAGTGTCACCACCCAAACTTGCAAACTGATTATCCCCTAACATCCAGTAACCTGTTGTCCCTTCCCTCCTGCATGCTGCTCAGGAGACACCTCTCACCAGCTCCTGGCAAAGACCCGGGAGGATCTGGAGGGAGATGCTGGAGCATCTGTCTGGGATGTTGGGATCTCCCTGCTGGCATTTAAAAGGAAAGGCTGGAAGCTGGGGTAGGATTTCTGGTGGGGTACTTTGTTCTTGCTGGTCTGGATTTGAAGAAAGTCATCGAGGGCTGGTTGTTTCTGAATCTCCTTCCAGACAATCACAGACATCCCCTCCTACCTCAACAAAACCATTCCATGGGGATCTGCTTGGTCCCTTTGGTTTCCAGTCTCTCCGTGGCTTTGCCCAGTAGGGTGAGGTGTCCTACAGGTTCATTCTTAGCTTGGGAGACTGTTGTGGTGTCACCCTTTGATGAACCTCTAGATGACCTCTGCACGGTGCCTGCCCCCATGGGAACCTCTGCGGTTCTCCTGGCCCTTCTTGGCTCATCCTTGTGGTTGGAGCCTGGTGGACACTCCCAAATGCCTCCTTCTGTGCCTTTTCTCAGCCAGGGTTATAGTCTCTTTGGTCTGCTGAGTATTCTCTGATCTCTGAGTCACACAGGATGCAACAGAAGAGGACTCAGCCTAATAAGGGGATTATCTTGGCATCTGGCTCCATTCCTGGGAAATCTCTCAAACAATGGCTGTTCCCAGCAGCGAGTTGGGGTGAATGTCTGCAGACACACAGGGAGTTGCCAAACTGGCCCCGTGTCCAGTCCCTGGTGGTGAGGAGAGTTTGAAACTTGGAGCAGTTAGGCAGTGCTGTCTCCTGGTGGGGCTTCCCTTTGGTCCTCACTGGAGGCTGCCTCAAAATTTGGGACTAGCTGGACTGTTCCTGCTGCTTCTCCCTGCAGACGTGGGGCTTATGGATGGATCTCCACCCCACCTTCTCTTGAGAAGAGCCACAGCACGAGTGCCACCCTCTTGTCTCTTCTTTTGGAGCAGAATGGGGGGTGACATTTCCCCTTTGGTGAACCCCAACCTGCGTTTCATGGCAGGATGCAGCAGAGCAGCCTGAAGTACTGCTGAGGGATGGTGTCCCCCAGGCTGGGAACAGGAGAAGAGTTGCAGGGGTGTCCTAGCCTTGGTGAAGAGCTGTTGCAGCCTCCTCTGTACCCTGGGTAACTCGTTCTGCTGAGGCTTTGCCTTCACCAGTTGTTAAATCCCAGCTGTCTCTCAAGGCAGCTTTCATTGGGCAGGAATTAACCATGTTGGGTAAGAACAAGTTTCCAGGTGAGGTCACCAGTGGAGGAAAGGATCTTGCTGGGTGATGAGGACTCACTTCAAAGGCTTCTCCTCTCCTTTTACAGTTGAAAGGACTTTTTTTTTTTTTTTATGAATAGGTCATGCCTGGTTTTAATTGGCTTGTTTTTGTATTTGGGATGTCTCATTAGCCACTCTGTCACATGAGCTTTTGTGTTTTCCCAGCCTAGCAGAATTACCAGGAAGGGAGGAGGAGACACCTCTGCTTCCTCATAGCAAAGCCTTGGACTCATTTGCAGACGACTGCAAAAAATCATCAAGTATTGAGAAAGCCAGGAGAAGCAGTCATGAAAGAGCTTGTTCAGGGCTGAGCCTTCACAGCCAGGCTCTGGAGAAGGGTTGCAGGAGAAGTGGGCAGTCACAGAGGGGACATGACTTTGTCTGGTGCTGAGGTGACACCTGATGGGTCCCTCTGAGGGATACTAGGAGCTCCAGAAGACACCATGGATGATTGGCTGGCAGAGTGCTCCAAATATTTTGGGTTTCCACTTCAGGTTGCATTGGGAGGAGGTGGCTGAGGGCCCTTGGTTGAGCCCTTTATGCCTTGCAGCTAAAGCTTGCACTGCAGGAATGACTTAACTGTCCTCTTGTAGGGCTGCTTGGTGGTCTCTGTGGTATCAAGCTATGGCTGGATTTGACTTGAGGTGGAAAGGCATCTAGGAGCCACTGGTAGAGGTTTTGGCATGGTTGTCTACAAGCTGGTTCCTCTTC